ATTATGTACAAAAATGCCATTAACTTCATTTATTCTTCAGATTTGTTATTCATTTCCATATTCATTCAACAAAATCTATTAGGCAATTATTATATGACAAATGTGCTTAAAATCATGAGGGACATAAGATAGATGCTGTCCCTGAGGCACTTACATTTTATTTCAGTGATAGAACATACACAGTAAAGTCAGTAGAAGGTAGCAAACATGAAACATCAGAAAAGAAAGATAAATAATGGCCTTGGGAAATCAGAGGCAGAGATTTCTAGTAGAAAGATTCAGAGGATATTTGTTGAGAATATAACATGGCATGGAGTCCTCAGATAGGGCAGGGTTTAGACCCAAAGAGAAGGTAGAAACAGCATTCATAAGTAGGTCACTGTGTGAGTATGGAAATGGTTAATGTTAGGATTTGGATCTCAAATGTTTTCCCCAAAGCTCATGTGTTGAAGGCTTGGTTCCCAGTGGGTGATGCAATTGGGAGGTGGTAGAAACTTTAGGAGCGAGGCGGGGGGGGGGGGGGGGGGGGGGAGACTAGTTGGAGAGTGTAGATCACTGGGAGCATGCTCTTGAAGGGTATTTTGGGACCTTCATGCCTTCCTCTCTCTTTACTTCCTGCCGATCATGAGTTGAGCAGTTGTCCTCCACCACCTGCTCCCTGCCATGATGCATGGCCTCATCACAGGCCCAAAGGCAACAGGGTCAAGTGACCATGGACAGAAACCTCAAAAACTGAGCCAAAATAAGCTTCTCCTCTTCACCGGTTGTTTATCTCAAGTATTTTGTTTATCTCAGGTATTCTGTCACAATAACTGAAAACTCACTAACACGTTTTTTAATAAGATTTGTGAAATATTCTTGTATTACACTCCTATGATTGAATCCCTTCTCTTACACTTAGTGAGGTATATGCCTTGATTTTTGCCTAATCAGAAATGACAAAGATATATTTTTTTTGTTTGTTTCTTTTTGAAGACACAGATTTTGGTTTGTTAACCTAGTTTCCCCATTTTTGTCCCTTTCATCAGTTTTCCTAATTCCCTCATCAATACCTAAACATTTAATGTAATTTAAAAACCAGAATAATGTACAGATGCTATATCAAAAAAAAAAAAAAAAGGTTCCTTGGTCACTTTTAAGCAGAACCTGTCTTTAAGTGCTACCTAGTCACAGAGCTGTGTGATTTTTTTTTATCATTATCCGGCTGGAAATATGCTGGGCCATTTCAATCTGAAACTTGTGAATTTATTTAACTCAAAGAAAATTGCTTCTGTTATTTATTCCCTCCCCTCTATTTCTCATGCCTCTTTCTGGAGCTCTTATTAATATGCATCTTTAGGATTTGTCTCCACATCTCCTATACTTTCATCCTCCAATGCTCTTTTTGCTTTAAGTTCTTGAAGACTTATTGTATTATTATTTTTTAATTTGCTACCTATTACTGATTTGGCTTTCATCTATGTCTACTCAACTCTTCACACCTCTTTTATTTGTTCTTTCTATTATTCTAAATTAACAATAATATATTTTATCTCTTGTATCCTGCTTGTTCATTTTATTATAGCTGTTTTAGGGGGCAAATTCCTTTCAACATTTTCCCAGGATGTCTACTATAATATTCTCTTACATTCTGTATTGCTTGAATTACTTTGTGTTTTTGTTTGCTCGCCTTGGCCTTTTCTCTTATGCTTTTGGTTTTCCTCAGACGTTTAGTTCACTAACATTCATGGACAAAGATACCTATTACTTGAGGTGGCCAGCAAGACCTTTCCCTGGTCTGAGTGTGTTTCTTAGGGAGTCTCCCCACTGGAACTGCTGACAGGCCCTTTGGATGAGCAGGAAGGCTATGTTCACTGGCAGCCATCCTCTCAGGATGCTCAATTGTGGACCTATAGGTACACATGAGTTTGAGAATCTCTTTCTCAATTGCTGCCTTTCTTCCTACTTCCCTGCCTTTATTCTGGTCAAGCTCTGTTCTGAAACCCACATGCAAACTGCTTTTGTTAGGTGATTTGCTTCCATTCGTCAGATGTCAAAACCCACTGCTGACTCCTGCTCGGGGAAGGGGACAGCAATACCTCATTGGCTCTGTGGGTCAGAAGTTTTGGAAGCAGTTCTTTAATTAGCTTTAAAATTATTCTAGAACACTTTCCTGCTCTCTGCATTTGTTCTTCTGTTCCTGGAGTTTTTCTAGCTCCTCTTTACCTTTACAGTACATTCCTCCTGAGTGTGTTTAGACTATAGTATTTTTGCACCTGATAATCTGATTCCACTTTCATCTCCCAGAACTGTCTCAAGGTTCAGCTCTTCCAGTGCCACCCTTTCTTGTTGTCCATCATTATTGTGAATTTACATATTTTTGAATGCTTCTTTAACATTTCAAGTCATTTTAGACTACAAAAGAGGTTGAGGTATGTGCTAAGTCCATCATCTTGATTCAATCTTGAGACATCCTGACATTTTATATTCTATGAGCAGTTCATCTTGTTGACTCTGAAAGCTATTTGATGACTGTCTGAATATTGGGGCTCAGTATTAGTTGTCCTTCCCAGTTTTAATTAAGATTAGATGTCCAGAAGTCACTGGTGACAATTAGATGAGAGCATTCTTTCTCACCAGCTCCCCACTGGACATGAAGCAAGGTGGTTCTATTTTCCCCAAGTTAACCATAGGAATAAGAGGGAGTCCTCTAAATCCTTACTGAGGTATGCAGCCTGCATCCTAAGTCTCTCTTGACCCTCTAACCTTCTATAGTCTGAGTTGTGTCCCAATCCTTCACTGAAATCACTCTTCTGAAGGTTATCAAGGACTTTACACTCATCACTACCTATGGCCATGGTGGCTTCAGCTCAGGAATGTATAAATATACAAGTCATCTCTCTCTGGAGGGCTGTTTGCAGTTCTTTCTCTGGGGGGCCTCCAGTTACCTCACATGAACTTTGTCTTCATCTTCCATAAACCTGCTCTTCCTTCCCTTGTGTTTTTTTGTCCAGATATTAAAGTCAAAGCTGAGGTGTCACCCTAACACCTGTCCTACTATAGTCCTTTCACCCTTACCTTCTAACCACTTTTGAATGCAGCTTACCTCCATGGGGACTCATTGCTCACTTCCTGTTGGTCTCTCGGTCTTTAGCTTCATTTAGATCTAATGCATTTCCCCCAGTACTTGGGATTAAACTCAGGGCCTCACACAGCTGATCAGCCCCTCTAACTCTGAGCTGCATCCCCAGTTCTTATATTTTATAAGTGTCTCCCTAAGATGCCCTGACCAGTTTTGAACTTGCGATCCTCCTACCTCAGTCTTTTGAGTAGCTGGGGTTATAGGCGTGCATTACCACACCTAGTTAGATCTAAAGCATTTTCATACTACTGCCAGAATAATCTTTCTGAAATATGTCTAAATATATTTGTTCACCTTCAGAGGTTGGTTTTATATAGAATAAAACCTGTGCTCCTTGGAGGGTGTGATGGTCTCTCGTTGTTCAATGGGAGTGCCTAGCTGTCATTTCGCATGGGTCCTCACCACACAGAATGATGCTCATGTCCCACAATTCTGCAAGTGTTTGTGGTCTCCTCTTGCTGTGTGCCTTTGCTCACAGTATTCCTTATGCTGCAACTGTGTTCTTCCCTTTTTGACTGGCCAAAATACTCTCAAATGCACATCTCCACTTGCCTTTTTGCCCCCTAGGAATCCTTTGACTTCTCTAAGGCAGCACAGGTTTGTGGGTCTCTTTATTAATTTATACTCATCCCTCATTCCACCAAGGACTTGAGACAATGTAAAACAGACACAACAGGTAAAAGGATAACATGAATGAAGGAGGTATTATATTTGAAGGGAAAGTAAAGATAGAAACACAAATAATACCAGGCATGATATTAGTCTTAAAATTGATATAACATTAAGTTCTGTAGACTTACACTACAAAGGGACACAATGAAAATCTGCCTCTGGAATTCTCAGCTGTCAAAGCTAAGAGAGATACTTGATTGCTTATGAATTTCACAGTGTACACTATAATGAAAGCATCTTTGCCAGTTACTAAAAAATGAGAGGTCATTACATTAAAAATTATTTATAAAGAGGTATGGTAAATTTAGAAGTTTCCTTCCTTGAGACCTCATTGACTCTTAAATATAACTCTATAATTTCTGTAACATTTTTTTAATGTTGATTTCTTCAGGGTAGGGACCATAACCTCAGCCCACTGCTTGATACTTCCTGTTACTCAATTAGTTTTTGTTATACAATGTTGAGGTAATGTAGGTAAATATTTTTGTGTGAACAAGTATACAACTAGAAGTCTATCATTATAGACACAGACATAAAAATTTAACCAACTGGAAGAACGTTTATAATAAAAACAATTATCAGGATACCTATGATGTAGCAGATACCATGCTGAACACATAACATGCACATTTCATAAGACTTCCAACCAATCCTGTGGATGCTGTTCTACATCTTAAAGATGGGAAATGAAAAACTTAAATAGGTTTCCCAAGGGTATGCAGGTAGGCAGTGGCAGACTTGGGCTTAGCAGTGATGCCTGATAGCAGCCCTGTGACTCTGAACACTTTGCTGTTGGTTCATGCTTTGGTGTGCAGGTTGATTAAATTGATTAATATTAAATTTATAAAAGTGGACACTTTCTCCTGATGGGAAGCCCTGATGGAAAGGCTTTGCTGCCACTTGCTAGTTCTTTAAGTTTTATTCCAGAAGTTTTTGAAGGAAAGGGCAGCAGCTATCTGGCAAATAAAATGCTGTGCTATAAAATTTATTTTCCATAAAGAAATATCAGGGTAGACTCTCACATAAAGCTAAATTTAAAATGTTTTAAAAATTGGAACATCTGACCAGTTTTCCAGTATATATGATAGGATATGGCACAAATTTGTTCACTATATCCAAGGAAACACATAACTTCACTATTTTATAAAAGGATTTGTTCTATTTTAACCAAGTAACTTTCACTGATGAATTGGTAGTTGCCTCTCACCTGAAAGTTGCCAAAACAGCTTCCCCCTGGGAGCGTCACATAACTCACAAAGGGAGGCCCGGAGGATGGCAGAGACTCATAGACGACCACACCTTCACTTGGGAATGCAGCCCGCTGTTGCTGCTTGCTTTCCCAAAATTCCTGTAACATTGACACAACGTTCACTGAAAAAGATGAGAAACAGCATCTATTATTAAGGATGGACATAGCCTGGCTAAAACAAAATTTTATTTGAAGCTAGATTCTGTAACATGACTGTTCCAGTTTAATCAGAGTTGTAAGGTCGGGGCTGATTTCAGCTTTGAAAAAAAATATATATTTTATTTAAATGTATTTAAATAAATAAAACACATCATTTTAACATATGTATATATTTCTTAATGAGTAAAACAAGTGGTTTTCCAACTTATCCTAATTTTGAAATTTTTCCTTAATAGACTTTCCCAGAGTTATGTTTATCTGTAGCATTATTTCCCATTTCTCATCAACTCCCTGCAAAGTGAAAGTCCAGTTGTGAAGTAAAGATGAAATTGATGTCATTTTAATTTGGATTCATCGTTTATAAGATTTAAGAGAAGAAATTCAGAAAGAAGGTGACTCTTATATCCTCCCTCTCCCCCAATCTAAAGGAGAATGAAAGGCAACTGTGGAATAAGCAGGGGGCTGGGAAAGGCCATGAGTGAAACTAATAACATGGAGACCTTGTTAAGGATAAGCTCTGTTAGATGACTTCAGAAAACATGGTAATGGCTAGGCCATGTGTTTTAGATTAAATGACCCGTGATAGCCTGCAGAAGTTCCAGATCAAATTAGGTTGGTTTGTTTATCCTGTACTCCAAATTGAATTGTGGAAATTAACAAGGATAATAGAATTGTAGAGTCAAAAGTGACCTTATGGGTCATGTAGGCAAAGCTCTGCCTAACGCAGGAATTCCTAACCAGTACTCCTGACAGTTGCCCATCTGGCCTGTACCTGAACATGTGGAAGGATCTGGTACGTTACATATCTAAAGCTGGGTGTTTCAACAGCTAATGGTGTGCCAAAGTAAGCTGAAATCTGCTTTACTGTCAGGTTGATGCAGGGGGTCTGCTTCCCACCTCTGGGGCTTCTCATATTAGTTTATCTCTTAACCCACATGAGAGACCACCACATATACGAAGGCAGTGTAAGATATCTGCTGTCTGGCATTTGTTTGCCTTCTTGTGTGAAAAGAACAAAGGTTTTCCTTGAAGAATCACACAGTTTCCAGGGGGTAGATCTGGGGATTTGACCAAATCCAAATCATTTACAGGCAATGAGTCCAGAACTTTTGTTGGAAATTCCGTTTTTCCTGGAATTCCTATTCTGTTGCAGTAGGTTTAGGAAGTAAGTATGGCACTGCTTAAGTCAAAAAGGAAAGCTGCCTTGAGAGTCAACACAGAGAAGGGTACAACCAAGAGATAGAGAAAGAAGGTGAAGTTCTAATGACCTAGTGTGAGCCCATTGTTCCAGATTTGCCCAGATCCAGAATCCTTAGTTGAGTTACCTAAACAAATGATCTGCTTTTCCCCTTGAGTCATTTTGAACTGGCATTTTTTACTTGCATATAAACATACACCAATACAGACAAGTCTCACGTTTCCTGAGGTTCTAGATTAAATGGTTTTTGTCCTTTCAAATATTTTTTTTACCAACATGGTGTCTATGCCCTTAGCTATTATTCTGAACACCCTGCTGGATGTGCTCCAAAATGCTGTGCATTGATACTTTCCTGGGAGCCACAAGTGCCAGAAACTTTGATCCAGAGGAAAAACATTGCACAGCCACTTTCTATCTAAGCTGTTTACTAGAGTACAGGCCCCTCATTGCAGCTCCTCCCTACATCACTGATCAACTTCATGGTGTATAATTTAAGAAAGTTCTGGAGACTTCTGAGGAATTGAATGTCTAGGGAGATGAAAAAAAACTTCAGTGTTTAATATTTAAGAAGTATTTTGGGAAATAAATTGAGAAAAGGTACGACTATCAGTGGGGAAGTTGAGTTAATAAAATACATACTGAAGGGGGTCAAGCTTATAATTGGTCATTACAGAGCTTTTAAATTCATTTAAAAATTAAAATAGTATTTTCTACAAGTAGATGTAACTCAAAATAGAATAATAATGTTTATATTCTAAACTTTATTTCTGCTCCCTATCCTCTTTTCCTCCTCTTCTTTCCATTTCTAAGAAAACAAGGATTTATGAGTCAACTGGTTTGTGTCTGTACTTGCAGTTGACCTTCAGAACTCAGCAGAGGCGTCCAGAAGATTGAAGCCTAAAACTACTGGAGTAGGCTGTTGCTCTGCTACTCAGCAAGGGCCATTAGCTTCCTATTTTAAGTTAATAAACTGTAGAATGAGATTTAGCTGAGAACTGGAGTAGGAAGTTGAGGATTCATGATTATCAAGGAAAAATGAACACAAGAATTTTGGCATATAAAACTATTTGGGTTAAAGAGTTTTAAGGTATGTACTAAGTAAGAAGAAAAGCAGCAGTTTTCAACATTTTCATTCTACAACCTTGGAAGATTTCTTTGATGGTCCTATAGATGTCATCACCCCTGTAGAGTACAACATATGTTCGTACACACACACCATCCATCTTTCTATCTCTATCTCCTCTTGTCAACTGGAAAACCAGATGAATAGAGTGCAAAGGAAAGAAGGCCAGCTTGCTGTTTGGAATTTAATAAGAGATTGGTATACCAGAGGATGCTCTATTCATGAAACACATGCTCCTTTCTTTTTGTGAGGTAGCATCAGCAACTTTTATGGGCAATTTCAAAGAAAATGTGAGCAGAGGGTCACATTTGAAAACAACCACCCAAGATTGAAGTTAAATCTCATTACACAGTTTAATCTCTAGGTGTGCCCAGTCAATTATCCTGCTTTCCATGTTACAGAATAAACCTGAGCTACCAAGTGTGCAATATCCATCCCTACATCTTGTGACCCATTTGCACAAATGTCCAACTCCACCTTATTTCCTATAGTCTCAAATGAATTGTGCTGCTTCTCCTAAGCATTGTTTTCTTAGTCTTTCTTTTAACCTATTTTTCAATGCTTCCTCTTTACTTATGCTTCCCAGAAGCCATAATGTGCTTGGGGCAACAAATGAATGAATAAGTGAATTAATCAATCAATTAAGTGGAACACTCAACTTTGGAACTATTTCTGGCCACTGTTTATGAACTTTTCCTAATATAGCCAAACTGCTAGAAAGAATATTTTACATTGTCTATTTCTGCTTTCTTATCTTACATTCATTTTTTAGCCTGCCACAATCTGGCTTCCCTCTACATTATTTCACTGAAAATACTTTGATGAATATCACCAATTCCTAGCTTTTAGTTCTAATTTATTTGATTTCAGCTGCATTTGATATAGCTATCAGTTTCTTCTGGAAATTCTAGAAATCTGCCTGACAATATTTTCTGCTTTTCTGATAGTATTTCTCCCTGATTATGAGTCTCTTTTCCTAATAATTTCTCCCAGGTTGCTTTTGTAGGTTTCTCTCCCTTTGCTAATTCCTCATGTTGGTTTCCAAATAGAATCCTATCTTGTTTTTTCTTGCTTCTCTCTCTGTTATTCTCCTTGAATGATGGAACCTATTTCCACAACACTATCTGCCATTTTATAAAGAACAGCTCCCAAACTGTTCTCCGGTAACTCCAACTTTGCTAGGTAGATACTTCCATTTGGATGTTGCACAAATAGAACATATACCCAAATTCAACTCGTTTTCTTTTCTATAAACTCTTCTCTTCCTCCTGAATCACTTTTTATCCTTCTGAATTACTTGGAAAGTGATGTTATCACCTACACAGTAACCTAAATCAGAAGGCTGGCAGGAACCTTAAACTTTATTTCCTCTTTTCATATTTAATGAATGCCCAAGTTCCATCAATTCCATATCCTGGATGTCCCCCACAGGCATCTCTGCCTCAGTCCACACTACCATTGCCAAGTGGCTCCTACTCCTTCCATCTCGCACATATATCCCAGGACCCTTCTGATGCCAGTCATCCTCTCATCCTCCCAGTGTTCTCGGGGCAATAATTTTAGGTCTCATAGCTGATCACATCCTCCACATTTTAAAATCCTCTTGTGGTTCCTCATTACCTGTAAAATAAATAGCTCCCGGCAAGGCATGAAAGATCCTCTGTTTTGCCTTGGTCTTTCATCCTGAACTCCTCTCTCCAATTCTTCCTCCCATCTCCTCGTTCTCCTGTATTTCTTTTAGCACTGGCAAGCCCCATACTTCCTTCTGTCCTCCTGGAATGCCCTCATTTCTACTGCCTACTGTCTTCTTGAATGGCGCCTATTCGTTTTTAAGACTCACCTCCAGCATCAGCTCCTCAAAATATAATCTCTAGTCATTTGCTAATGAAAGTGCCATGTCTGGGAAATATCATGAATATCACTTGGGGATTTGTTAGAAATGCAGAACCTCAGCCCCCACCTCAGTCCTACCAAACTAGATCTTCATTTAAAAAAAATTCTCAGGCAATTGGATGCAATTAAAATTGAAGAAGTCCTGCTGTAAGAAGAGACTACTCCCATCTCTCTTATGTAACTATTATAAGACAGACATTGCTTGGTCCCTCAACACCTTTTTTTTTTTGGTACCAAGGACTGAACTCAGGGGCACTCGACCCCTAAGCTACATCTCCAGACCTATTTTGTATTTTATTTAGAGACAGGTCTCACTGAGTTGCTAAGCACCTCACTTTTGCTGAGGCTGGCCTTAAACTCACGATCCTCCTGCCTCAGTCTCCCTAGCTTATGGAATTACAGGTGTGTGCCACCTCACCTGGCAACACCCCCTTGAAATAGGTATTTTCATCCATAGCTTATAAATGATAAATAAAATAAGTTCAAGGTACAATCACCCAGTTACAAAGTCTTGGATTTTAAACCCAGTCAGTCTGTGTATCTAGACTATGTTCTTTTTTATCCCAAGTTACTCCCTAATACAATGGTACTTAAGTTATTTTCGTATCTGTCCACCACTACTAGAGACCTCACTCTTTGGAGGACCAATGACATCATTTTTCCACAATGCTTTGAATATAGTAGAAATATAATAAATATTAGTTGAGTGCTTGAATGTCATCAGAGATATAGGAGATGTGCTGCATTTG